CATTATATAATTGGTATCTAAGTTTTTTACTTTTAAAAATGGTATACTTATTATTTTTTCTTTTTACTAATTTGATAGCTATATTTTTAGACATTACGCATTTGGTATCATTTATGTAATGTTTGACGACATAGATGATAAATAAGTATATAAACTATATATAATTTTATTTTAGATACCTAAACTATTTTTTTTATTAAAAGAGATACTTAAATTTTATTTTATTATTATTTATTTTCCACCCATGTTTTCATTAAAAAAAACTCTCAACCAATTTTTTCTCAACCATTTTTTTTTAAAATAACAAGGATATTTAATTTATCGGAAGCCGTATCAACAAACGTCTTGCCAATTACAGACTGAACAAATACAGTCGAGAATATCAAAATAAAATATAACAATGATCGCTTAGAGATAGCCTATAAACAAAACCATTAACAAGTGAAGTAACGATGTACATAAACTGAACACACCAACAGCTCCGGGCAACAAACATGGAGGAGAGAAACTTGAAGAATAACCAAAAAAACCAACAGACAAAGCGATCTCCCCTTAACAACAATCCCTTCCGGCACATACATGAGATAATCAACGAACCGTTTTGTACAAACAAACATATGAATCATGCCACGAGAAAGCAACAACCATGTATTCAGAAAAATCGAGAAGAAAACCAATAAAAAATCTGCATCGAGAGTCCAAAAACACCGGTAGTCATGATACCCTTTACTAGAAGAAGTGCCAAAAGTATTTTTATAATAAATACGATAAAATCTAACTAAAAATGACAGGGTGGACCACCACCACTGCCATGAACAAAAAAAAATTAAAAACCATCCAAGGGAGAATGTAACGGCCGCAGAGAATGAGGAGCGTACAGAAATTGATACCGACAAATGATACCTTTTTTATTTAGCATTATTTTATTTAAATTTTTAAAATTATTTATATATTATTTTACAATTATTTTAAATTGAGTTAAAAATATTTTAAAATTTATATATTTTCATAAAATATGTACACTCATTATAAATTTTATTTATTTTTTAATAAAAACTTATATATTTTTTTATAATTTAAATTGATATATTTTATATATTGTAATATTAAAAAATAAAGGTTATTTAAACATATATTTTAATTTTAATATTTTTGAAATAATTATTTATCTTCTAAAAATATTTTTAATAAAATATTAAAAATATAAATCTTAAACAAAATAATCTAAGAATATTTTCTAATCATATTTTTCAAAAATAAAGTTAAACTAATTTTTTTTGCAGCCGCTTTTGTTAGTAATTACTTAGGAAAAAGGGGATATATGCTTTTTATTGTATGCCACCATCACAACTTTTGACAGTGACCTATTGCGCACCTTCTCTTTACTTCTTTTATTTTTACTTTATTTTTCTTTCTTTATTGCTTCACTTGGAAGACACAACACTAACTTTACCACGAATTTTCCCTTCCCCCAAACACCCTTTTATGGGGTTCATAATTGGATGGCAAAAGTCATAGAGCCCACCAATTCCGGTACAAAATGAAATAGATAGTAGTTTTTTTTATTAATGTTATATGTAGATAGGACTGAACACATAATTTTTATATTATATTGATAGATTATAACTATAGATTTATAAAATTTTAAGAGTAAATTTATAAAACTATAGGAAAGACAAAATAATTTATTAATAAAAAATATAAGTTATATAAAAATTTAAAAGTTCCTAGAAGTAGCTATTTCTCCCATGCCTATACAAACAATCTCAGCCTTCTCTTGGCTTCTTTCTATTTAAAAAGGAAGTGTAAACATTCCCTTTAACTCCTCAATCCATCTCTTACTATTTGTTACATCTATAATGTTATTCAAACCTAAGACTTTCTGTAAAGGATCTAACATCTCATCCCACGAGATCAACTCATAGTTAATATGTTGGCTTTATCGAGCAACAGAAAACCACCAAGAGGGGGTGAATTGGCCTTTTAAAAAGTTTTGTGGAAGCAATCAAAAAATAAAAAAATTTTGCTCATCTGTTTAGAGTGGTTCGACTTCTAAACCAAGTCTACATCCACTACCTTAGCCTCCACACTAAGGATTTCTCAAATCCACTAGATTTGCAAACCATTAAGGACAATGTGTAACCTTACAATGACACACAAGATTTATAACCCAAAACCTTTCTTACACTCAACAGGAATTAAAAATTTAGTAAACAAAAGAAAATCTCACAAAGGAAAATGAGTTAACAACTAATTAAGCACACTCCCAAATTATACTTAAGCATGAATAAACAAGAAGGTCACTAGTGTATTACAAAAAATATGACAATTTAGCTCTAAAAACTCTTTTGATGTTGGATTGATCTTTCAATTGATTTTCCTATATTTCTTCATTTGAATCTTGATCACTTTTATGTCTTTTAACATCAATCTAGCCGTTTGGTGCCATTGGAGATTGAATAGAGCCGTTAAATTCATTATTTTTAAGCATTTAATGATCACCTACACATTTAGTATCGATATCAGATGTTGGTGTTAAGATTGAACCTCCCAACGATCAAATTTATAGCCGTTGAACCACCAATATCGATACTGTTTAAGTGAGTATTGATACTCACCCACCGATCTCGATACCAAGGCCATGGTATCGATACCAAAAAGCCCTATGGAATTTTGGTATCGATACTGACATACTGGTCTTGAGACTGGGAGGGGTTTTGGCTGAAAATCAAGTGTTTTGAGCTTTAAAACAATATTTATAAAATGTGAATTTACTCAATAACACTTGTGATTATTTTCCACACTTAAAAATGCTTTCAAATTGTTTATGACAAATTATTTATAAAAATGTGAAATGCAAATTTTGACAACTTAAACCATTTAAAAATCATGTTATATCAGAATCAAAAGTTAGTTCAACAATCTCCCCCTTTTTAATATAACAAAACCTTTTGTGAAAATTTGCTTTAAAACTGATTTGTCATATTTTGTGAAAAATAAAATCTCCCCCTTAGAAAAACAAATTTTGGCTAGCAAATTGAAATTTTTTCACTAATAAATATTTCTCCCCTTCTTTTTATAACATTAAGCTTCAAAAGAGAAAATATGTTAGTGTAATATGGAACTCAAATATTCAATACAAGGAAAAAGTCAAATTTTGCTTAATATACATAAACATGTTCATAAGCCTTAGATCAACATCAATAGTTCAAACATTAATCCATAAAGTACCAAAATAATAAAATATCAAACATGAAGAAACATAAATTTCCAAAATAAAATTCATATAGTGCATAAACCCAACCAAAATGTAAATCTCCTAAAATGGCAAATGAAAGTCTATTCTTCAGGATGCAGTGGCGAAGGAGAGGGAGGTGTTAAGTGATGACGTATCGAGCGAATGTCATTCTTAACCGCATCCAAGCGAGCATTTATATTCCCGAAGCCTTGAACCATGTAATCATACAAGGTCTTCATCGATATCTCCTCTTGAGGTGGAGGTATCAGTGGCTCATTCATTTCATGTTCTTCTTCTTCTTCATCATCGTCCGCAATCTGTCAATGATAAGGACCCCATTCACTGTATTTTCATTGAAGTCCCAATTGGCCTTATGGGTCAATTTGAGATTAATGACACAAACGAGAGGAATGGAAGGGTTAAAAGCGGTGGACACTCTAAGTTTCTCCCTAATGATGTAACTAAGAATACAACTGTAGGGAAGAGTTTTAGAGTAATTACCCCATTAGAGATGATATCGACGAGGTCTAAGAATATAATCTCGGCAAAGTTTGGATGAATATTGTTCTTGATGTGATAAAACTATCAATAGTCACAAGAACGCATATGGGTAGCATTACCACCGAAAGAGTGAAAAAACCATGTGGTCGCGTGTGTGAGTGTACTAATTATAGCACACAATTCTTTGCAAGTATACACAATTGATGCAAGTAATATAGTAGTGAGTGAGTATCGTCTCCACAGGGATTTGAGGGATTTTTTAAGCAAACTGTAGCATGTTACTAACTAAATCTAAATATATATGTATATTGGTGTAAACACTTGGGAATGTTGTGGCAAAATGGAATGTATAAGATGTATGGAAATATGATGGTAATATGGAATGTATAATATGTATAGAAATGTGATGGTAATATGGCAAATATAAAGTATGAAAATACTGAGGCAAAATAAAAAGTAATAGTTCAAAAATATTAAAGCAAATTAATTTAAGAATATGGGAATGAATAAGATAGCTAACAACCTCACACAAACAAGATACAATTTAGGTAATTGGTAGGGTCACTAAGGAATCCTAAGCCTTGTCTTCAGAGATGGTTTAAGCTTCTATGACTTATTTGCTCGACAGAGTTTTCTAAAAGTGTTCTTAGGCTATCTATAGTAAAGAACTTGATAGAGGAAAATGCTACGACAATAGCTCTCAGCGTGAACTGCATCAAATTCTTATCGATTAAGTACTACCCCTTTTAGTCATTGAAATCATTTCCTTATCTCTAAGGTGGATTAAGACCTAGTTAGCAGTTAAGCCCCATTGCTCACATAGATCTCACTTGGTTCTCTCTATACTAAGCATCAAACTTAAGAAATAACTTCTCCCGTAAGCTCTTACAATCCTAAGTTAATAAATACAATTAGCAAAGCAAATAATAACATAAAAGCATCAACCATTCATTAAACAAAAACTTAATCATCCATAGTTAACCCACACAAAATAAGGTTAGTTCATGGTAGGGTACAAATCATCCAAATAAATAATTTGTTACATAACAACCCATAAAATAGAAATGAAATGAAAACACAAGGATAGAGAAAACTCCCAACACGCTCGCTGTCGTGGGCTCCTTGGGCCACCGTGAACCACCTTAGCAAGCTAGCTTCTCTCAAAGGCCTAGCTTGCTGCCCCTTTAAAGTTTGGATATGGAGGACACCACGATGAAGATGAAAAATGAATAAAATAGATGCTTTGGAAGCCGCATTTCACTCTTGCCTACCTCATCCTTTTCCCAAAAACACTCTCCTTTAATTCTAAGGTATCATTATCTATTTATACTAGGGGAATGACCTAGGGTTTTGTGCCAAATTCCCATTGTACCCTAGGTGTCATTCCATTCACGTGAGGGGGATGTAATGATGAGTGTAGTCCTCACATGGAAGTTGGCTGGAGGGGACCACGTGTGGGATGGACAGCTGACCCTTCATAAAAAAATATATTCCTTTCTTTTGTCATTTTCTGTTCACAGGAATACCGCTCAGACTATTGCATCATTTTTCTAATGCTTCATGAATCCATAATGCTACAACAAATATCTTTTCTCTCATATGCTTTCAATCATCTGCACATCAATAAATAACCAAAACTTTCCCCACTAAGCAACACTAGTTGACAAAATAAGATGCTTCAACATAACAACTCCACCATATGCAATGATATGATCCTAAATGCATCTATATGAACCTAAATAAGCCTTAAGATAATCATTAGCTTAAGTGAAAAGGCACATAATATAGCCTTTTTATGGGTTTATCACCATGTAATGAGGAGAAATAATAAAAGGTCGGGAAATTCGAGATGGGTAGGGATATCACTGGGGAACCTCTTCATTGTAACATATGTAGTTTCATTGAAAAGACCATCATCGTCATGGATATTTAAGTGGGTAGCAATGGAGAAGGGACTAAGAGTAAATGTTTTTCCCATTAGATACAACTATATCCCAATAACTCTATCCTCGTTATCTTCGGCATGGCCAAGAATAACATTAGAGAAGAAATCATGAATAAGATTTGGATGAACCTTGGAAGGAATGCTAAATAAGTCTAACCAAAACCACTTAAAGATTATTTCAAAGATAGAGAATTGGTAAACCCACGACATAATAAAATTTGGGTCAATGGTACACTCAAAATGGATGGGTTTAGTTTTGTAAAAGTGATTGAATAGGCTAAGAGCATTAGGGTCCCTAAAGTAAGCACTTTCAAAACTTACAGAATTAAAGGATTAACCTTGGTGGGTAGTCCCACTAGTCCTAAGATGCTTTAGGTTCGTTTTAGAAGGCATTTTTTGACCAAAAAATGGATATGACAAAAAACAATATTCGTTTGGGAATTTTATCGAACACTTGGAGGACAAACCTAAAACAAGGATTCTAGGTAAAAATTGATGAATGGATTAACCACCTACAATAAAAACATATAAAATGCAACCCAATAAACCAATCAATATTATCAAATTTTTATAGGTGTCGTTTTGCATGTCAAAATAAATTTCTTCTTGAATAAAATAAAGGAAATTAAATATAGTATAGGAGAAGTAAGGGTCGATCCCACAGAGAATAAGGAAGACGATAAAATTCTTGGCTTTTGATTTTGACCTTTGGCATGAAATTAAGTAAAATAAATAAAAGGGGTGGGGGTTTTGGTTGAAGAAAAATGATAAGAAAAATTGATTTAAAGAAAATTGATAAAGGTAGAATCTTGAGAATTCAATGGATTAAATCAGCCTTAGGCATTCGCTTTGACTCACATTCTTTGGATCATCGAAATAGATATACCATTCGGGATTCACGTCGGTTACTTTGTCTACAAGGATAGATCCTTGCGACTACTTGTATACCGAATACCCAAGTACAACTCTTAGATCTCAGATTTGGAAATTGATCTAATCAACATTAATTGTTGTAGATCAAGAACCTCTAAGCACATAAAACTGACTCAGATAGTTGTTTCCATGCAAACCGTTTCCGATATCAATTCTCACTTTAGCAACAATATGCTAGTTGTGTTCCCCAGGAAGTTCATTTGCTATCAATTTTCTGATTCTTCCTCCCAAATATTTAATTGAAAAAACATTTTGACCATCGACTATCTTTAGTTTTGACTGGATAATGTTGAATGGGTCTCCTAGAAGCTACTGACTCACTACCACATCATTATTTTATGCCCACTATTCCAGCCTTGATTCCAGAACAAAAAAAATGCAGTTTTTGGTCCTTTTAAGCACATTTTCCTAGAAGTCACTGTCCTGACAGAAAGCACATAAAAATGTCCAAATCAGTAATAAACATGAACAATGAAATAACATTTAAGCACAAAATAAACACTAGCCAATTTTATTCAAAAAATGCATAAATTTCCAAAATTTCAAAACCCTATATACTCATTTTTAAAATAAATTTGAGAACCATGATATATAATCAATGTAAAAGTGTTGAAATATGTATATAAAATATTTTAGAAATAAAACACATTAAAATCATGATTCAAAACATTTAAGAACAATTTTTTTTGAAGAATAAGAGTATGAGTTTATTTAAAAATTAACTCTAATTTAACGAAAATTGAGATGATGTTAATGCAAATCCACTAAGGATGATGAAGGAATGAGGATTTCGACACCAATTTGTAGTTGAATCGAGTAAAAATGAGAGATTTTTAAGAGAGGGTTTATTTTAGGGTTTTAGGAGTATGATAAAAATGAGATTTCTGGGAAAAATAACCTATTTAAGCATGAATAAAGGCCCCAGTCTTGATACCAGTATGGGCGATATCAAGACTCCCTGCCCAATATTGATACTCTACAGTGGTATCGATACCATTTTGGCTACTAGAATTTCGTTATCGATACCAACATGTTGGTCTCGATACCAAAAGCTTTGAAATGTCAAATTTGACATTTTTTTACCCTTAAAAGCTTTTGGAATAAGCACCTAATGATTTGAAGACTATAAAATGCACTAGGAACTTATTTTAGCACTAAAAATTTAATTTGATACTAAATTAAAGCATTTTCGTAGGCACTTTACTACATAGTATATAATGGACTTTTTAAGGAATTAGCTAGTTAGAACGAACAAGGTCCAAAACAAACCGCAAAGATTGATTTGTGGGAATATACAATCAAGAACAAAAACAAATAATATTATGTAGAAGAATGAGATTAAATGAAAATGAAATATTTTACCACTTGAATTACGGTTGATTTGTTAGGTTGCCCTTTGTTCAAGTGTTCTTTCTTAGTGTGTCTAGAGCCTTTAAATACCTTGACATTGATCACATTTGTTTCAATACACCTACAATAGACAATTGTGCAACTTTTGGTATCCAAATTTTTTTAGGTCCATTAATGTCAGTTCCAAGCAATTTAGTCCCCTTAGGTATCCATAGAGATAAAATATCCTTGCATTTAGTAGCAATGGGACTTTTAGGGACCCATATACGTTTAACAAATTTTCCTTTATAAGATTTAGGGGAATAAATATGTCTATTGTAAAAGCCATTTTTGACAAAATTTGATTTTGAATAATTTTTTCCTTTTATTTTTGATAATTTTGTCAAATCAATTTTATTTTGATGATCTTCATGAACTTTTAAAAGCAAGTTTTGCAAGTCTATATTCGTTTGATCAAAATCATTTAATTTTTCTTGCAAATCTTTTACTTTGTTTTCAAGTTCACTATTAGCTTTAGAAAGCGAGTCATTTTCAATTTTTAATTTTGAATGAATCTTTTTGTGTTTTGAAATCATGACTTCACATTCTAACACTAATTCATCATAAACATCTTGCAACTCATCAAATGAATATGAATTTGGATTAGATGAGTTAGAGGATACCTTATAATATTCTTAGATGGCCATGAGGCAAAGGTTAGCTACTTCATCCTCTTTATCATCAGTGATGTCTTTATTACTCCATGTAGCCACAAAAGCCTTCTTCTTTGGCTTGCTATATCCTTTCTTCTTTAAGTGAGGACAATTATATTTGATGTGCCATAGTTTTTTGGAAATGGTAGCATATAATATGATTATTCTCCTTCTTATATTCGTGTTTCTTCCCTTTTTCTTTGGATGACATGAATCACTTAAATTTCTTGAAAAGCTTGGTCATCTCTTTATCTTCTTCATACACCTCTTTACTTGTATCATCTTTATCTTCATTGGTGGACTTGAGAGCAATGCAAACATCATTTTTCTTCTTCTCCTTATTTCTCTATCCTTTTTTTTGAAGACTTATCTCATAAGTAAACAAAGATCCAATGATCTCATCAAGGGTATACAACTCTAAATCCTTGGCTTCTTCGATGGCGGTAACTTTTCCTTCCCAAGATGTCGATAATGAGGCAAGCATCTTTCTCACTACTTCTTCATTGGGATAGACCTTCCCAAAGTTCTTTAAGTCGATGATTATTGAAAAGAATCAACCAAGCATCAACTTTATGTCTTTATCGGGCTTCGTCTTGAAAATATCATAGTTGAGACTGAGAATGCCAATCTTGGACTTCTTGACTTGGATTGTTCCTTCAAGAGTGACTTTAAGCTTGTCCTAAATTTCTTTATCATTGGAGCATGAGGACACTCTACTATACTCATCGGGCGTAAGTGCACAAAAGAGAATATGCATGGCTTTGGCATTGAGTTGAGCTAGCTTCCTATCTTCGTTGGTCCATTCCAACTTGCTTCATGGAGGAATAGGTGAACCATCAATGATGATATCCTAAACTGAGTAATCGGTAGCTTGAACGAACAACATCATCCTATTATTCCAGTATGAATAATTTGCACCATTGAAGTATGGTGGTCTTATAATGGATTGAGAGTCTTCAACATTGTAAGAGCCAAAATTTGAAGCCATCTTTATCGATTGATTTGTGGAATTTCATAGAGCTTTTATAAGACCTTATAAAGGTTGTTAAATCATTGATAAAAACCCTTTATGATACCAATTGTTGGTGTAACACCCCAAATTCTAAGCTAGTAGTTTTAGGTTTACCCGAGAGGTAAGTGGACCTCGCAAAATTTATAATTTAAGTTGTTGGGCTTAAGCGGGTTGGATATGAGCCCAATTAGCCATAAAAAGGAGGTTTTTGAAATATAAAAAGATAAAGAATAACTAAAAGCATAATTCTCCTATTTTATAAAGATAAACACTTTTTATTTTTTTCATCTTTTTCTCCTCCCCATTTCTTCATTTTCCTTCTTCTTTCTCATCTTCAAAG